GTAATTTCATGTGGAATCATTAATTTAAATATAGCCCAAATATTTCAGAAAAGTTGCATAGCATTCTAAATGCTGAAGTACCAGTTTACAATTAATTGAATTGATATTGTCACAAATGAAGTCATAAAGATGAACTGAATTGATATTGTTACAAATGAAGTCATAAAGATTAACTGAATTAATATTTTTACAATTGAAGTCATAAATATTAACACGTTGAGCGTGGCGCCGAATTTGCTGTCCTTTCTGTTCAGCCGGCAGCGAGCTAAGTCGTATTTTTGTTTAGAATGTGGCTGATCTTTGGAATATGGTAACTGGTAGTTTGGCGACATTTTGGAGGCGATAAAGGTTGCTACCTAGGACTTTGGTAATAATGTGAGAAGTACTCAGTTCTGATTATGCATTATTTTGTGTGAGGAAATAAGAGATCATGAGATATGTCATGCGACATAATGGACGAATTACAGTTCTTTAATCGGAAAAGGGGGGGAATTTGGAAAACTGTACTACTATATTATTTTGTATTAAGTTTCATTGTGTGTTGTGTGAAATAATGGAAGTGTGCGTGCACGTAATGAAGATTCTGAAGAAGATTAGGTAAGTTAGTATTTTAATCATTTGAGGATATTTTTTATGCATTGTTCTAAATGTAAGGAGTAAATCAATTACTATGATATAATTAGAAAATTGTATTAGCAATGATTTAGTTTAAAGTCATTAGGATTGTAATCTAATTTTATTAATTTAATGTATGTGCTTATTTATATTTTAAGTATTTTTTAATTATTAATTATATTTTAATTTAATGATCGTGATTTTGTGAGTTAATGTTTGTAGTATTTTGGAATACGTTTGAGAGAATACGTTGATTATTTTCATGCATTTTTGTTAAATTTTTCTAATTTATGAGAAAAAAGCAGTGTACATGGATATAGTGAAGAGTGTGCGGAATGCCATTTTTGTGCAATTCTGGGATGTTTTTTTAAGTAAAAATAAGTCAACGTGTACATGGTTTAGTGATATTTTAGATAAATGAGTTATTTTGTGAATTTTATGTTTGTAGGAATTTGGTATACATTTCAGTTGAAGTAAACGTGTACGGAAATAATTTAAATATTTGACACTAAGTATTTGTAACCATTTGTAATGTTTGCGGTATGAATTCGTTGGTGACGTTTATAATATAATAGATAATTTAGAGGTAAAAGTTTTTGGATATTTTAGTTATTTTATACGTGGAAAATTCATCCTTGGAAAGGGTATATACTTTTTCGCAATCAGGTAATTTCATATATGTGCTTTTTACCGAGTTTAAAGATTCACAGAATTTTTTTGCATTTTCGTGCAAATTTTTGTAATTTATGAGAAAATAGCAGTGTAGATGGATAAAGTTAAGAGTATGTGCAATGCCACTTTTGTGCAAATCTGGGATGTTTTTTTAAGTAAAAATAAGTCGACGTGTAAATGGTTTATGTGCATGTGCTATTCTGAAAAACGCGCAAGTAGTTTGCGATTGTGCACTTTTTCCAAATTTTGCAGTTAATATTTGTCATGATTAAGCAGTTTTCTTACATAAAATTTCTAGCATTAGTGTAATTCGGCTAGTAGATTGTTGGAAAAAGTGTTCAGTAAATAAAACGCAAAGAAACATGTCTTTACTTCGTGAAAACAAAATGGCGGCGAAAAAAAAAAAAGGTTGATCTTTACAATATGGTAACTGGTAGTTTGGTGACATATTGGAGGCGATAAAGGTTACTACCTGGGACTTTGGTAATAATGTCAGCAGTACTCAGTTCCGATTACGCATTATTTTGTGTGAGGGAAATGAGAGATCATGGGATATGTCATGTGATATTAATGGACGAATTACGGTTCTTTAATCGGAAAAAGGGAGGAAATCGGGGAAAAAATCTGGAAATTTTGTATTTGGCTTTATTCTGTGTTGTGTGAAACAGGTTCATGAATTTTTGGATCCCGTGGCCGTAACTAAAGTGAATTTGAAATGGGTATTTATGTATGTATTAATTTAATGTATGTGCTCATTTATATTTTAAGTAGTTTTTGAATTTAATTATATTTTAATTAAATGATAGTTATTTTGTGAATTTTATGTTTGTAGGAATTTGGTATACATTTTAGTTGAAGTAAACGTGCATGGAAATAATTTAAATATTTGACACTAAGTATTTGTAATGCTTGCGGTATGAATTCGTTGGTGACGTGTGTATAATGTAATAGATGATTTAGAGGTAAAAGTTTTGGATATTTTATTTATTTTATATGTGGAAATGTCATATTTGGAAAGGGTAAATACTTTTTCGTGATCAGGTAATTTCATATATGTTCTTTTTACTGGGTTTAAAGATTGAGAAAATTGTCATGTATTTTCGTGAAATTTTTGTAATTTATGAGAAAAAAGCAGTGTGTACATGGATATAGTGAAGAGTGTGCGAAATGCCCATTTTTGTGCAATTCTGGGATGTTTTTTTAAGTAAAAATAAGTCGGCGTTTGTACATGGTTTATGTGTATGTGTTATTTTGAAAAACACGTAAGGAGTATGGTATTATTGTGCACTTTTCCCAATTTTGCAGTGAATATTTGTCATGATTAAGCAGTTTTGTTAGATAAAATTTCTAGCATAAGTGTAATTCGGCTAGTAGATTGTTGGAAGAAGTGTTCAGTAGATAAAAAGAAAGAAACATGTCTTTACTTCGTGAAGACAAAATGGCGGCGGGAAAAAAAAATAGAGGGTTGCTGTAAGAGAGTTGGTCGCCAAATTTTCGCCAAAAAAACGCCAAGTTACCATAATGTAAAGATCAACCAAAAAAAATAGAGGGTTGCTGTAGCAGAGTTTGGTCGCCAAATTTTCGCCATAAAATCACTAAGTTACCATAATCCAAAGATCAACCTAGAATGTTTAAATACATTTCATTAAAACTAAATTTGATCACATTTCTTTGAGACTATATTTATTTTTTAACTTTTTAAACTTTAATACTGTCGGCCCTGAGGACCGACGCCAGCCAAATGAAAATTCCAGTGCCGGTCCCCAGGGTCCGACGCCAGCCACACAGAAAGTTCACCTCAACGTGTTAATGGAATTGATATTTTTACAACTGAAGTCATAACCTTTCAAATAAAATTATGGAAAGTAATTTTAAATTATATAATTAAAAATTTTGGTATTTCTTATTAAAGTGAATAGTGCAGTTAGTCATTAATGTTTTCAAACTTAATCACAGAATTTCTAATATACAACTTATCTGATTCTCAGATTCAGTCACCAGTTAGTCATTATAATAAAGTACCACCAAAATTTTATAATTTTAATGGAACAGATATTACAAACACACGAAAAAAATAATGAAAATATATCTATGCATAAATAAATTTTAAGACTTTTTTTTTTAAAGATACCATACTTTATCACTTTTCAGACTTAAAATAGAAAATGTTGCCCTTTCTTTTAACCTTTTTTTTCCCCAGTATTTAAAAGAAATTTCAGTGTTGATTAATTGTAATTCTAGTTCACTTGATTTATCATAATTCTAATTTATATACAGTCGGTTTCAAAATTAAAAAGTATTAAATAAAAAAAAAAAGGTTAGAGTAGACTTTAAAAGAAATTTCAGTGTTGATTAATTGTAATTCTAGTTCACTTGATTTATCATAATTCTAATTTATATACAGTCAGTTTCAAAATTAAAAAGTATTAAATAAAAAAAAGGTTAGAGTACACTGAAGAGTGCCCCTTAGATTATCGCCAAGTTGTTTCATTTATGGTAATCGGAGTAGTTGAATTCAATGGAAACCCTATTATGAAGTAACTGATTGCATGATTACGGTGAATTTGAATGATGGGACGGACTTCGATAAGAATTACGTTGTTATTTTGTGGTTTACACGGTAAAATGGCTGAATGTTGTAAGTTAATTTGAAATTTCTGTACAATTTGGAATGAAAGGGGGAAAAAAAGCATTAATTGACTGGTGTGTAAATGAAGGTTTACTTAGTAGCCATTATTAAGTGCCCTGTTTGTAGGAAGGAAATGCGTATGGTCGAACGATATCGACACTACGGAGGGGATATTTTTTACTCTTATTTTTGTGAATTTATGTGGTGAAACCAGTACACAGATTCTAGTTCAGATAATTTTAGGGAGTTTTTGGATGCTGTTAAGGATTTTGTTTGACTGAAGACTCAGAAATAAGGTAAGTGGATATTTCCTCTGTGTAGCGCTAAGATGAATTTTCTTTTTTATGTTATTTCATTGTTTGATTTAAAATGTCGTTTATTGAGATTACATATTTTTTGTTGGCTGCTCTTTTGACTTTTTAAGTGAATATAGATCGATGCGTACATGTACAAAGTAAAGGGAGTGTGCAATGCCTAGTTTTTCCAATTCTCCGATGTTTTTTTAAGTGAAAATAGGTCGATGTGTACATGGATATCAAGTTTGTGCAATTCTTTGACTTGTTATTTTGAATTTCTGTAGTGGTGATGTTTGGCTAAAATAAAAAATAAAAGAATTGCACAAACTCGGTGTCTATGTACTGCAAAAAATCACCAATTATCGCCAAAGGGCACCCGCAATATAATTTTAACAAAAACAAAAAAGTTTTTTCATTCTACGGACATCAACTTCAATTTTTACTCCAGTTCAATAAATAAGTAAATTAAGACTTTTTTAACCAAAAATAAACTAATAAAAAATACATTTCTTTAAGATTATAATATTTTTTTTATCTAATACCCTAGTTCTTTCAAGTTTCTTATATATGTGAATTTATATTTCAAGTGCAAATAATTTATCCTAATATGGTCACTGATCATAAACTACTAGTAAATCAGTAACTAGTAAGAGTAATCTGCTACTACTTAGTTAATCAATTAATAAATCAGTAACTAGTTAAGTTATCCTAATATGGTCACTGATCATAAATTATTAGTAGTTTCTTCTGTAATGAATTTATATAATTAGATTTTATAAAAATGTTACCTGAATCCATTTCAAAAACATCATCTGTGGGTGCAGATGTAGCACTGTTTTTTTTCTCTGTATAGTCTGCCACTTGGTCAGGTTCCACTTCATGGTCACTCGAGAATGAACGAGCTAAGAAGGCATCATCATCATCATCAGAGTCACCCCCCACAGATTCTGCTCGTAATGCTTTAGATGCAGTCCCTTTTTTCAAGAAATAATCAATATTCATATATGTTGCATATTCTGGACTCTCTTCTTCAACGCTTCTCTGAGTAGTCAATAAGCATTCGGCAATTCTCGAACGGGATGTTATAGCAGGAGGGCACTCTTGGTAAGAATCATATGCTTCAGAAAATACAACATAATCTCCTTCACAATCCTCCTTTGAAGTATCACTTGCTAATGTATTTGAACTGGAAACTTCTCCCTCATCTGGAGCAACAGTATCATAAATATTTTCATCATCATATAAATGTGATTCATTTACATTTTGTTTTAATATACAAGAATCGCCTGATGTTTCTAAAACCTTATGTGAAGATTCAAGCAGTTCAATGGCACTATTTTCGATAGTACAGTTTGTGATATTTTCAATATTTTCAGTTTTAGATTGATTGACTAGAGTGGCATTTAGATTATCACTACAATCCATATAACTTGTATCAGTCACCGGTTTTTCATCCTTTTTACAACTGTCCACTGGGTTCAATACCGCTGCTTGTTTCACAGGAGGTACAGCTTGAACAGGAATTGATTTTCGAGGTTTTTTTGGAGGTGCTGGCGGTTTTTTCTTCTGCAATGAAGAGCTAGTTTCAGTTTCTACTTTACACAAATCATCACTATGAGTGCACAATTTTTCCTCCACCTTTTCATGGGACTCACTTTCATTAATGCCTTTGGCGCACAGAGTGTTAGATGGTGAATTTGGTCCACCAACAGCTATGACAGTAATATAACTATTTTGATCACTTAACTCATCAGTGCAAGTATTACACCCAATTTCAACTTCTGGATTATTCGAATTTGTAAGTGCTTTATCTATATATCTAGATTTACTTTCATCATTTTTCTTACCATCAGACACAGCTTCTTTACCCTCTGCAGTTTCGTTAATGAATAGCGGATTTTGCTTAACTCGCTCCACATCTGCTAGCAAATGCTCTAAATACTCAACGTAAAATTCTTCTTTTTCCAACTCTGCATTTAAAGCTGCTACTCTTTGTCGATGTTTCGTTAAATTTGCTCTTACATCCTCTTCCCATGCTTGGGGTAATTCGCACCCAGGAAAACGTTGAGCCCAGGCTTTCTGGAAGTCACCGAATACACTCATAGTTGGAGAATTTAACAAATTTGATAGTAATAAAGACCGACATCTAGCTACGGTTCAAAAGAGAACTTTTAAAAACGTCAGGATAAACATTCAAAATAAGTAAACACATCGGACAGCTCAATCATACTGTTGTTTTCACCCACAGTGCAATAATAATTGACAGGGAGAGGTAGACCAAAACTACGAAGCTACGGTTACAGGTAAATTCGACAAAAAATAACTATCAAGATTGCTTTTCCTTACTTTAAATTTTATATTGGAGTGTTTCCCTCCTTATTCGCTGACACGAATTAAATAAAAAAGTAACCTGCGTAACTAGCAGCATCTCAAAAATAAGATCACTGAAATTTGTGAGATTTATCGGAAAATTTGTGGATATTTTTGTGGCCTAGCAACACTTCTATCATGTTGATGCCGAAATTTTAACTTCGCGTTATTCGAAAGATATCTTCTTACTCTTCCCTCTGAATAGTCCTCTGTCATTGGTCCTAATCACGGAGTATAAACTTTTCCTTCCTGAAGATCTTCTGCGAGTGATAACTATTGAAAATTTTGTTTTGAGGTGTTCCGATTTATTATTTATGAATGTTTTCATGTTCCATATATAGAAGGAAAGAAAGGAAGACACAAAAATGAACTGAAATTTGAAGTGATAGCATGTTTTGTATTTTAATGAATAGTATCAGTATTCAGTGGTAAGTTCCATTGGAAATATTTGTAATATAAGAAAATCCAAAACCAAACGTCATATATCTAAAAAATCTGTGAAAACTTTAAGTGAGAGAATATAGTTGAAGGTTTTTATTTTTATTCTCTGGATCTCTGAAAACTCACTGATGAATGAAATGGGCATTGGTGATGAAAAAGCTGTTTTAAAAGTTTAGTTATATATAATTTACAAGTTTTTCTGTCTTGAGTAATTGGTCAATTGTATTTAACTTGATTATTTTTATTCAATTTTGTATTCTTTTAATTTCCCTTGCATTTGTAATTTAAACCGTATTTTGAGCAGATTTTTCATCAAATTATCCAGACGGGGCATATGTTTTCACACTTGAGAAACTTTCCAAACATGTCGTTTAACCTTACTTCTCTTATTTACGTTCCACCTCATTGTAGCTGTATGTACTGTGTTTGTCCAAATCTATATCTGTGTTTGTTCCTCTGATATCCTTCTTGGGAACTGCAGTCAAGATTAGTTCGTGTGAGGTGCTTTACAAGGTAATTAAGAAAACTCAATATCCATCAGATTACCATGTGTTTATACTGGAATGTAGATTTCTTTTAAAGAAATAATTTTATGATAGTTACCAGTAGTTTATCCAGGAGTACTTTTCAACTGTCTTCTGAACTTAAAAGGGCCGTTCCCACTGGGGTTTATCTGAGCTAAAGCAGTCAGTTCCATTTGTCGGCTAGCTCTATTATGCCTGCATTTCAGATTTTTCAACTTGCTGCCCTATGGGAAAAAACTGCTTTTGGAGATTGGTCAGCTGCATCAGTTGTCTCCATTAGCTTAGATAAACCCCAGTGGAAACGGCCCTTAAATTGTTAGCAAAGAAAAATATAAATGCAGTTAAACTTTGCAGTTATTTGCAAAAATTTTGAGGAACCAAAAACAGATGATTTTGTGAAATGCTGCAGTAATAAATTAATTTTTAATGAATTTAAGTAAAATTGCACTTTTTGCTTTGAAATATACTTTAGCTTTTTGCTAATGAAATTGCTTGAAAATCTGTAGGTGTAATGGTATGTATGTGTATAACATCATATTTTATACTTAGTCATGTTGAGCATTTAAACTACTTACAGAACAAAGTCTTTAATCCGGAATGATCTATAATCCGGACCTCAAAGCTACAAACTGTGCATAATACCTTTATAAGTGGAATTGCTGCAAAAAATGGATAAATGTATGAAGAAAGTGACAAAGAGGTTAGTGAAAATGAAAAAATTTCGATTGACAAATTAGTCGGTATTCTCGACACAGCAATTACAGGACTTGAACAGCGGAACTTTGTAACTGAACAAGAAATAATGTCTCTTTATAGAATTAAAGAGAAAGTATTAGCATATAAAATGAAGCAACTTACATTGAAAGAAATGTTTAATAAAGTAAACAAATAAATATTAAGGTTTTTATTTTGTAAATTTTGATACCCTTTGGATCATAATTGCTCTTTATTTCATAAATTACGGTTTCATATTTTTTAATTTTATAATTTCTGCATGCCATCATACCAGATTTAAATTGATGATCTATAATCCAGAAAAACCCCTAATCCGGAATCACCGAAGTCCCGAGGAGTCTGGATTAAAGACTTTGTACTGTATAACTTAATTGCACTCGCTGTACAAGAATCCAAGGTCCAGACTGGTCAGGACTTCGGCAATTCTGAATTTTGGAAATTTCTGTATTTTAAATTAGTAAGATGACATGTAGGTATGGCAGCACATAGAATTATTGTTTTTAACCCCCCTCCCTACAGAGCCAGAGCAGGTGCAACTGCTGTGGTTGCAACCAGGTGTGTCAGAATTTAAAGGTGGCAAAAATTTTAGAAGGCACCCAGAGCCAAAATTGGTCATTCCCAAATTTTTGAAATTTAAAAGAGGTGCTAGGCAGTAGAATTTAGGATGTATTGGGCAGCAGAATTTAGGATCTGCAGTGATTGTACCAAGGTGCAAAATGTGCAGTGCATGTTTAACACCCCCTGCAACAACTCAAGAACCGAAAGTGCGATCCTGGGCAACAGCTATACAAGGCCTGTCGGTGTTTTGTTATTGGCCACCATGAGACTCCTTAGCCAGCAGTGTTTAAAAGTAACATGAAGAAATCTGTCAATCCAGAGAAAAGTCGCACTAACAGTACACCTGCCTCCTTTTGTATTCTCCTTTCCTAGACTTTCTACAGGGAAATTAAATATATATTTTGCTGGCGGTTCGAAGGTCTGGATATTGAACATCTAGATTTTAGACTTTGTACCATTATAACATTTTATGATTTTCAAAATGGGATAGCAGTTACTTCTGTAACAGGTTTGTTCATATCTGTAAAAATTTGTAAAGTGGAGACTGTCTGTGTGTGCTTTTTAAGTAATTTACTGACAATAATAATGTTATGTTTAAAAAAAAAAAAGTAATAAATTTTTCATGTTAGTCCAGTTAGACATAAGGGCAAGCGTTGTCCTCACGATAGAGAGACAGTATACCTGGTTTCATTTACTCAATACCAACATTAGAACAAGATTATATTACACAAAACTCTTATGATTCTAAAGCATTAATAGTTTTGGCATGAAATGAAAGTCTCTTTAAGTTATATCATTTTTTGTCTGCAACATCTGAATGAACTCACCCCCATTTTAAATATAACATATGTAATATTAAGTTATGCTGAACAGTTCGATATGTTCAGTCAGAAAATTCTGTACAGCTAGATTTCCTGTATTAAAATTAGCTTAGGAATAAATGATAGTACTTTTATCTTAACAAGATGCCATTTAACTCCAAACATAAACACTCGTGCAAAGTCTAACTAGATGGCGGCTGTCCTAATGCTACATACAGCTTCATGAAAAGAATAAATATTTTATATGTAATGAATGTAATAGGTAACCAATAAGGCTAATCTTTGGAATATGGTAGCAGGTAGTTTGGCGACATTTTGGTAAGGCGATAAATGTTACTAGCTAGGACTTTAGCAGTGTGCATGGATGAAGTTAAGAGTTTGCACAATGCCATTTTTGTGCAATTCTGGGATCTTTTTTTAAGTGAAAATAGGTCGACGTGTACATGGATGATACCGTGTATGTGCAATTCTTAAAAACGCGGCAAGCAGTGGGCGATTCTGTACTTTCTCCCAATTTTGCACCTAATCTTCGTCATGATTAAGCACTTTTATTCCATAAAAGTTCTAGCATAAGCATAATTTGGCCAGCAGATTGTTGAAAAAAAAATGTTGAGTTAAAAAAAAAAAAAACTTTGTGAAAACAAAATGCTGTCCAAACAAAAACTAGCAGGTTGCTGTAGCGGGGTTAATCGCCAAGTTACCATAATCCAAAGATTAACCATGAATAATAATATAATAGTTAATGCACTTAATGGCAATGTTGTGTGTGATACCAAATTAATGGAATTCTTTGATATTTTTGCTCAAAAAGCATCAGAGAATTGCTTAAATATTAACTGTAGATGTTCATGATGCAAATACCACGTCTGGCATCCTGTTAACCTTTTCCCAGGGGCTGGGACATATATGTCCCGCACGTTCACTACTTTAAATGTGTCTCAAGAAATTTCAGTAAACTATGGAGATTTAAAATTTACTCCTTAATATGAATTACAAAGTGCAATACCCTGTCGATTTGTTTTTTTGTTCCTTTCAGTTAAAATAAGTGACTAAATGGCCAAAATACATTCAAAATTGGACCCTATAGCCCACGGAAAAAGCTTAACTCAAATTGGGTACTTGACTTCTATAGCTGTCTCGGTGAGAAAGTAGATTTGACATGTTTATGCACTGGCAAGAAATAAACAGATACCAATCTGTGCTGTGGAAGAAACAAATCATTACCAATTTTAGCTGCTTTTACATGCTTGTGTTGTGTCAATATAACGGTTTTTCATCGTAAAAATATTCATTATGCATACTATTTTCAAGCTTCCTTCAATGGAAAAAGGAGCTGTTATAGTTTATGTTTAAGGCATTAGTAGCAGCAATTGCTGAACTGTGGCTATAAGAAGGGGTCTATAAAAATGAATTTTCAGGTATCTTTATCTATACTTTTTTTTAATAAATTGCTAGCTAGATTGTATTAAATAAAATAATAAATAGAAATTTGCTGTGTACTGAAATAAGTAGAAAAGTAGAATTTTCCAGCACATTGATATATGTTGCTATTTAAGTAAATAGCAAAATAGCATACTTACAGTTAAGTAAATTTTTTACTTAACTATATTAAATATGTTAATTAATGTATATGTTAAATAAATTTAATTGAATTATATTGTTATTTAAGTGAACTGCTGACAAAATTCTATTAAATGCTGTAACAAATACAAATTTATATTGAATCCCTTCGATACGTATATGATAATTTGGGAATGATGCAGACGCATTTTGAAGCATGCATGGATGAACTGTAATGAAGAATAAACTTGAAACTCATATTGGGGAAATAAAATGCAGTCATAGCATATGTAAATTATATTTCTTTCTGTTCCATAATGTAACATTTATGTTTTATATATTATTGCGATAGAAAGAAAGAAGTACAGTAGCATCCAAATGGCAAGAGAAGCAGAGCAAAAGAAAGGGGGAAAATAAATATATATTCATCAGCAGTGAGAGATACAGAGTCGGTTCTTTGTTGAAATTTTGATCTGAGATTGAATAAAAAATATCCACAATGCACTACATAAGATGGCATGATAGATGAAACACTTCAAATTTATGTATTATAAACAATTTATACTTTTAGGAAGGAAGTGGGAGTAAGCAAGTTAAAATGAGAAATAAAAGGGACTATTGCCAAAGTAAAATTAGTAGTTTTCTTTTATATTTTACTTGCACGTGTGATTTTGTAGCACTTTGTGGAAGATGAAACCAATTCACTCCTTATTCACGCTTGAGGAAAACTACTCCGTAGATGACGGGAGGAAAAACCGCAACTAGCTTGATCATTAAAACACCATTTTTATTTTGAGCAGGAAAAATTCTTCAGAAATACATTTTTACTTAAATTCGTGCCACACTGGGGATGCCAAATGCACCTGCCATTTATATATATATATATTCAGTTTATACTTTTGGTATTAGAAAAAGAAGCTTAGCGATGAGCCATGACTTTCCTAGGCATAGCAAGCAGACAAAAAGTGATATGTAATAACTGCATTTGTATTTATAGTTGGAAAATCTTTGCTTTAACACTGAGCAGCTATTGGGCAAAAGATTTTGCAATGCAGAGAAGTTTAAGGAAAGAGAGACGTAACATGCTGCAAAGTGATACAAAATAAAATAATGCACAAGGATCTATTTAACTAAAATTTATGAATTTAAGACTTTGTTGCCAAACGGTTCCAGTTAAGTTTAATAATTGTGTTTTAGTTTATATTTATATATTAAGCAACTTATGTTACATTGATAGTGAATAAATTTCCAGTTTATTGTTTACCATAGTCAGTTATGTTTTCGGGGATGTTTTATTATATTTATCAACAAATTTTTCTCTATTAAACCAGAATTGAATCAATGGTATTTTCTGCTGCCATATAGAAGACAAATAGCAAAAAAATAAGCATTTTTAAAGTACTTAAAATAGTAATTGCTCATTTTAATTTGGACTGAGCAAATCAATTTCCGGTATTTTTCTGTTAATCAGGACCGGATTCAGAAGTGCATATATGTGTATGCACACACATATATACATGCATACTGGCACATATACATGCATTTCTGAAACTGGTTCCAATAAAAGAAAAGTATCCAATTTCTCCTCTTCTGCTATTAGAAAGGTAGTATACAAATAATATACTATAGTAGTATTCTAGTCAACTAAGTTTATATCATCTTTAGTTAAGTTCTTAATTAATTAAAGTTAAATTCTTTAGTTAAGTGCTTAAATCTCATTTACAGTTAGCTTTTGTGTCTTGTGTGTAAAAGGTAGAACTTCATCTGTGAAATATTTCATAAGCACTATTTATCAGTACCATACCACTCATAGCTAGCAGTTATGAAGTTTTAACTTATTAGCCATTATTTGAATGAATTCGTTCAATTAGCCATTCATTAATAGTTGTCATTAGAATCATCTCCCCCCTCCCAACCTCTGATTGGATTGCTTTTTGTAATCGAAAAGAAAGCAAACAAGCTAAGAGAATTCGATCAGGTTTTATCAAAATTTATATTCTACAGAGAATACTATTTCTTTCTGCCTCCTTTTTCTGTGCTTTTTCTCCCTACATATGCATTTTAAACAGGGCAAAATTAAAAAATAGCAGTAGAGAAGCATATTAAGTGTTTTCTGAAAATCTCTTGCACATTTCTATGCAGTAATCATTTCATGAGTTTGGTTTTAGAAATAAATGGGTTATTTAAATTGAGATTTTACATGGGACAAACATGTATGATATGATTATTGATCCTTATTCTGTGGGGAACTGGAATATAACATCACGAAACTTCTGAACTTTTAATGCATTTTTGGCTTGAAAAAATGTATAAATGTAAAGCAGGTATATTAGTTACAACTATTTTGGAATAATTAAAAATGGTGAGGGAGTATTTCATGACAACTTGTGAATCATTATGTTAATTTAGAAGTCAAACAACAATTATGTTGTTTTCATTATGTTTCTTTTTATGGCTTGCTATTCTCAAAGTTTGAGTCGAATGATAATAATAGTGCCATCATATCTTCTTTATGTTGGTTATACGTTAAATGCTACTGAACATGGACTAAAATTCTAACATTAAGACTTAAATATTTGAGAAAAATTATTTAAAAAATCAAAATAAATACTTAAGGGATAATCTTTTATTTTTCTCAAAAACCCTTTGTAAAAATACAAATTCACCGGGGAGTGAAAATCTAATAATTGCCTCATGAAAGGATTAAAATCTTATGCAGGAGAATCTAATTTGATTATTCATGATTAAAGATAATAGACTGAACTTCTAGCATCATTTTATTATTATTATTATTTGTTTCTATTTATATATTGAGATCTTTTTCTCTCCTCCTAGGTATTACACTTTGGTAAAGTAAAATGAAGATCAATGAGAAGAATTTGATTAATTTTGCTGTATCAAAGGCTTGTATAGACAGGGAAGGTTGGTTGGGAAAAAGAGGTGAAGTTAATAAAAGTTTTCAGAAAAGATGGTTTGTTTTAAAAGGTAATCTTTTGTTTTATTTTGAGAAGAAAGATGACAAAGAACCAGTTGGATTAGTGATTTTGGAAGGTTGTACTGTAGAATTAGCTGAAAATGAAGAAACATATGCTTTTAAACTTGTCTTTCATGGAGCTGGAAATAGAACATATATTTTATGTGCCAATAGTCAGGAAAATATGGAACAATGGATGAAGGCACTTGCTTCAGCAAGTTATGATTATATCAAATTGATGGTAGCAGAGCTTCAACGACAGTTAGATGAAATTATGGAATTGGAAAAGCAAGCTGTATCATCTGTGCCAAACCGTCTGAAAGCTAGTGGGCTTCCAACAAATAGATCTGATGGTTGTCTTTTTGGGCACGCTGCCGGTGGTGGACGTGCTCCTAGATTCAATCCATTTGATAAATGGAAGGCTGAAGCTGATGCAGAGGGTAGCCGTTCAGCTGGTGCGGGTTCTGCTATTACAGCAGCAGCATCTGAAGATGATTTGCTTCATCATGGTGCTGGAGCACGTTTGAAAGGAACTAGACAAAGGTATCTTTTTATAGAACTTCATGAATATTATGGCCAAATTTTCCGACGACTTTTTGAAGAACAGAAGAAGAAACGAGCTGCTTTACAACCAAAATCTGAACAAGACCTGATAAGCTTTATTTAATTTTATTAAAATACTTGCTTAAAATTAAAAAGGAAACATATAAAAATATTTCTTAATTTTATATTTCTTTAACAAAAGTAATATTGAAACATTTGTAAAGAAGTTGTACATGTTTTGTAAATTATATTCACATTTTATAATTTTATTATTAAATAATATATGCAGATTATATATAATTCAGATTTATTATTTTTTCTGATTTTTTAATATGTTACATGTGGTAATAAATCCTCTGTGTATTTAAATGCTAAATGGTATGTTTGGTAGTCAATCAATAAACAGTAGATGGCTGCAGAAATAAAACTTCATGAAATACACAACAACCAGTTTAATTTTTTTATGCAACCTTATCTAGATATATTCCATTGGTGTACGATGGTCCCAATATGTATTGTAGCATGTATGAACACTTTGTTCAGAGTTTGTGAAGCATTTACCGGGTAAGCTTTGAGATGACCAAATGAAAAAAATCACTTCAGGCTAAGTCAGACTTCTACCAAGACTGTTAAAGAAGTTGTCACTAGAATTCAGGAAGGCACATCTGATTCGTTTGTGTCACATAAAGGATGGCATTATCATGATGGAACAATATGCTGTACAGTTCAGAGAATGAATGTTTTGGTGAATTTCAATTTAAAATTGCAACATTACATTGCAATATGATGCAGCAGTCATGCAGCATATTAACTTTTTGCCTTCACAAATGTATTAGCAAAAGGCGAAATCACAGTGCATTGATTCGCTAATATAAATTTCTCTTGTAGTAATTTTCATTTGATATGACCTCAGTGATTGGCGATATTACTTTTTGACTTCGTTTGAAAAATTTGATTGGCATTACTTTTGGTATGCCAATTTGATATTTGGTATACTTTTTGGTGCTAATCACCGATGTCTATTTTTTTATATTCTTAGAGCAGTTTATAACTTATTTATTGACTTTCTTTCATATTTGTAATTATTAAAAATTCAGCTAACGTGTTCAGTGCAAGTACCACTGCATAATTTAGAAATAATGTGAGAATACTTTTTGATTAGGAAGATAAATTAGTACAATACTTTTCAGAAGACTCGTATTACAAAAATCGTGGGATAGCAGTATACGAATTTTCAGGTAGTACTTGCAAAAACTTCTAAAAATATCAAATGGCATTATCATTTGTAATTTCACAAGTCTTTTAAAATGAATTCTGGTGTGATTAAAGCAAGTTGGTATAAATTCTAATATTTTGAATATGGAATGACTGTTGGAACTGAAGAAATGGGACATTTAGTTTTTGAATTTGTTGAGACATTCAACAATTCCTGTATCCTTGGTGTTATGGATGTACCACAGATATCTCATACAAAATATTATGTGCTGGCCAATGGTGGATTTTTAATGACCATGACTGGCTATATATGGCCAGAATTGCCCATGGTAACAGATAAGCAATAATGCAGTAATGTCTGTATTCAATATAAGTGATACTGGTGGTATATCTGTGATTTCATTGAAGCTCAGCTTAGCATGATCGGCAGCTGAAGATCCACAGAAATTCATCTGTTCGTGTAGATCTTCTGGCACAGTGCATCACTTACAGTGTTACAAGCTGATGGTAGTTTTTGAGCATAGTGGAGACTATAAATTTATGGACCTAAATTGCCACAACACTTCTTACAATGGTCTGTTTTTTAAAATAAGCAATTCAAGGCCATTACTACCTTCTGGATTTGCAGTTGTAGTGCTTGTCATCACTGCATTATCTTCTCCATCTCATTTGAGGCTGTAGCTCAAGTCAACCTTCATTCATGAGCTTTTCATGAAGCAAAACATACTAAGCAGAAATGAAGTGGGGAGAGAGCAGGCAACTCAAACAATCTACTGCAATTGTCATTTCCATGTTTACGAGGCAAGTTAAGTGACAGAAAATGACCTTGAAGTTACTATTTTAAAGTAATAGACTATAATTATCTAAAGTAACAGCTTGCTATCTGTCAGGTAGACTTCTATCTCTAGAATTTTTCTCACTCTCTGTGCTGTGCTAGATGGAGCTGCCCAGCTGGTACAGCGATTAGTAATGCAGATTGCCGTACCAGTGGGTCCAGCTTTGAAACCCCGAGAAAGCTTGTAAGCAAATAGTGTCTAAGCAGCAAGGGGGCAATCAAAGTAAATAGCGAGCTGAAAGTCCTCTCGAGTGGTTGTTGTCAGTAGAGAAGGAACCTTGGAATGAGACAACCTTGGATCACCCTACCAGGGTGTTCTCCTTATTTTTCTGTTGAGAGGGCAAGTATTCTGCTTCTGACGTTAGATCAGAAGCCCTGTCAATGATATAAGAAGTATTCTCGCTCAGAACTGGGTTGGAACTGATAGTTACTAAGGCAGGACTATACACATAAGACCAATGGTGAAATTCTACTGTCCTGCCCACTTCTACCTGTATTTATGCTAGAGGAAGCCCACGCCTTTATTAAAAAATATATATTATGCCCCAAACTTTATTGCAAAATAAGTATCCTTCACTTTTGAAATTTCAGTGTAAAGTTATTTTGATTTAATTATGAGAATTCCCCAGGTAAAATTTTTACTAAAGCAGTATTTGGTATAATAATATGAATATGAAATAAGCCATTAAAACAATGTACATTTTGTATGATGCATTACATAAAGGAATTTTGTTGTTATTATATTACTTTACAAATCAACACATATGCCAAAATCTTTTGCTGGGCAGCTTATATATAAATATTGTAATGTAAATTCTTAAATACAGTCAAAAGTCATTAATCCGGACTCGTTGGGACTTCGGCGATTCCGGATTATCGATTTTTCGGGATTATAGATCATCAGTTTAAATCTCGTAAGATGGCATGCAGAAATTCTAAAATTAAAAATATGAAACCGCTATTTATGAAATAAAGAACAATTATGATCTAAAGGGTATCAAAATTTACAAAAAAAAAAAAAAGCTTAATATTTATTTGTTTACTTTATTAAACATTTCTTTCAATATAAATTGTTTCAGTTGCTTCGTTTTATGTGATAATACTTTCTCTTTAATTCTATAAACAGACATAATTTCTTGTTCAGTAACAAAGTTCCACTGTTCAAGTCCCGTAATTGCTGTGCCTAGAATACCGACTAACTTGTCAATCGAATTTTTTTTGTTTTCACTAACCTCTCTGTCACCTTCTTCATGTCTTTATCCATTTTTTGGAGCAATTCCACTTTTTGTTTGATGGACATCGAAACATACTTTCGTTTTGTAGATCCTTTGGAAGTTTCAGCATCGGAAATTCTATTTGACATAATCGAAAGTTCAAGTTTACTTTTATAAAATTGCTCTTACGGTTCTGCAAAAAATAATAAGCGGGATCCAATTCGAAGATTAAGGAACAACGCAATCATTAACATTAACTGAAATAGATAATTAGATAATTTTAGCTTACACCGTCCGTTATACATTAAACGCGCAGGCGAAAACGTATTCTGCACTTGCGCGCGCGCATATGCGCAGTAGTCAAGGTCTTAAGCGCACGCGTAAAACGCCTGTGCGCAGAAAGTTTTTAGCTTTGAGGTCCGGATTATGGGTGTCCGAATTAACGACTTTTGACTGTATATGTAATTTTCAAAGCTATATTTTAGTTGCTGAAACTGCTTGTATGTTATGAAAGTAGGGATGCCACTTTTCAGAGTTAATGTTTATAAGAATTATAACGACATGAAAGATATTTACTCCGTCTTATTCCTGACATATATGAAGTTTTGAGTGAATAGACATTTTCTATTGAATATCACATCCGTTTTAAAATTGACATTTTTTGTTATACAACCTGTTACAGTAATAATCAGTGTTAAAATTTTATGAAAAAGGAAATCTTTAATTGAATTACTATATGAATTTAATTTTTGTAGTCTAGTGTATTTACAAAATTCTAATATTTTTCATAGTGTTATATGTGAGATAGCCAAATTGGAAGCCTTTGATATATATCAAAGTTTGAAACATTCTGAATTATATTGTTCAAGGTCTAACTCTATTTGAATTGTATGCTATATTACATTGGTGTACTTTTATAGCACAGTATTACATTTATCAAGTTTTGTTTATGTTAAAAAACATCCACATTCAATATATTGATGCATCCAAACTTTTAAGAAGTAAATTTTTAAAGGTTTGGAGTGTATAAATTTTCTTAAAACAAATTCATTTTCATTAGCATTCCTCAGTTCATCTGTGGAATATTGTTATTGATTTTAAATATGATGAATTATTGCCCAGGGACACTTCATGTTTTCCTCCATTGTTCTGTAATATTTTTTATTTTTAATGTTTCAACTGTTAACTGTCAAATATTTCAGCTGTTAAATAATGTATGCAGGAATATTTTTCTTGCATATTTAACTTTTTCTGCATTCTTGTAAAATTAAATTTAACATTAAAATAATTAACTGTAAAATTAAACATTAAAAGTTCACTTCTTTTTTTTTCTTCTAATGTTTTGTATTGTTCAGTGTATACATTTAAAAGGCAGGTAGAAAGATTCTTTTTAGAGAGAAAGCAAGTCTTGTTTCTTCACCTCCCCCATTCATTTTTACTCACTTTTTAAATAAAATTCATTGTATCTAATTTCATAGTGATTGTATAGTTGTTTATTTATATTAACATATGTGAATAATGAACAGTTATAGCCTTCTAATTTATTCGACTCTTTTATTTTTTTATTAATTTATATATGGAATGCATTTTTCGTTCTTTTACTCCTCCCTAACATTAATGTGTGTTCTCTCCAGAAGTACATTTTATTCAAATGTGCATGTACTTACATGTTCTTTTTCCTCATATTTTTTCAAACTTTATTCCTGCATCATTCCGTACCTTCATCAAGTTTTTGCATTTGATCTTTTTTACGTACCTCATGTTAGTAACAACCAGGCTTAATAAGTTTATAACTTTTAATTCATTCAATAATTTATGCCATATAATTAATAGTTGACTATGATAAGAAACAGTCATAATACTCTGAAAACTGTGTGTCTATTCTATTTACTAAATAGTCAAAGTTTTTTTGTAAATTAAGATGCTTGTGTTTAACTTTGCTATTTTTTAATCATTTGCCTGTATTTGAATTTAATCAAATGTAGATAAGTGGTTATTTAGTGATGCTAAATAAAAAGTATTTGCCTAAGACATTAGCAGATGTATGAAGAAAAATTAGACAACATGAATAAATTTTCTGATTAAAAAAAAATCTTCTGGTTGCAGTGAATA